GTTACAGAAATATTTACACCCCAAGAAAGCTTTGATATTTTGATACTGTAATAATGATTGTAAAACAGAAAGAGATAAAGCGGTCTAGTTCTATCTGAAAATGTTGTTTCAAATTTCTGAATGGCTGTGTGATCGGAAACGCGAAAAAACTGAAAAATTTTTCAGTTCAGAATATTCTCGAATTTGCATATATCAGAAAATGTTACAGGTGTCTGATCTGTAAAGCCGGCTTGATGTTGTAAAGTTCTGGCAAAATTTACAGCCTCGTCATCTTTTAAATGTGGATTGTAAGTGTGTAATAAGCTAATTGCAAAACACAACTGATCATTTTGTTCAGGGACGATGAAAAGATGTTTTCTCTTTTTATTTATTAATTCAGCATCCAAAGATTTTTCAGCTTCCCGCTTGATTCCTCCCCTCGGATTTTTAACAACTTGAATGATTAATTCAAAATCACCGTCTGAATCTATTTGTCCATCGGACTGTATTAAACGGTCCAGAAAATCTGTAAATTCAAGTAAAATGTTGGTTGGGTTTTCATCGACGTGGAACGTAGCATTATGGGAAACGTTTTCACCAGATAACTCAATCTGAATGAAGTCATTTCTATGGGATAAAGCTTCAACCCTGTCAGCGAGATTTGACAGAATACTCATAACATTTGTGTAATATTCGGCTAAATTCGGTGCATTATCTGAACGAGGTAAAAAAAAAAACCTGTTGCCGAATTTCACGGTTATTAAATYGTTCACGAGTAGAAATTTGCGCATTTTGAATCTTTTCTGTTGAGAGTCCTGCTCCGTATTGACGAATGTCATCTGAAGGCACAGCCCCGAATCCTGAAACGAATTGATTAAGCTTGTGTAGAGCATTTTCACTCTGAGATAAATTTTGTAAAGAGTTTTCATCTTCCTGGATTTGAGAAAGATCTGATACAGCTTTCTCTAAAAGTTGAAAATATTCATCTGTCTGAGATCTTTCTTCCGGACGAGTCTCCTGAGAAATTATCTCGTCAGGAGAAATATGTGTCAAGTTTACAGGCAAAGGGATTTCCCGTAATCTGTATATTTCAGCTTGCAAATCATAAAAAGGAAGATTTGAAATTGCTTTGTCCGAAGTGTGGAAAAAGTCCACAGTTTGCCGTCTTTCATTTAAATGATTTTCCTGAGAAATTATCTCAACAGGAGAATTTTGGAAAGAGTTTACATTGACAGGTAACGGAATTTGTCTTAATTCATCTACGGCTGATTGAAGGTGATTTATTACGTTAAGTGACAAAGGAGGTTCTGACATTTTTTCTAGGTACAACGAGCAGAAAAAATCTTACAGTTCGTCCAATATTCTGACGCACAGGTCCATGGTCTTGCTGAGTGCGTCAAGACAGCGACGTTTCAGGAGGGCCGGAGAAAAATCATCAGAACATCCTGTATTCTGTGGATCTGGTAAGAAAAAAAAGAGAAAAAAATCAGCTTATTTTACTCCATTTCTTTTTAATAAGTAATATATCTTATTTTACATACATAATAAT